TGAGCTGCTGCCCGCTGAACCCTTGCTCTCACTCACCTAGCTGGGGCCTGCCCTGCCGAGAAACAGTCCTGTATTCCTGATTTCTCCACACCACCTCATGTGGTCCTTGCATATGTACCCCATTGCCGGCAGGTCCTGTGCAAGATGTTACGCCCTCCCCAGGATCCCGCCGTCCTGATGGTTTTAATGTTGTCTGAGCTTCCACGACAAGCTTCTGTGAGACGTTGCTTGACAAAAATTCCACTACCCAGAGGAAAAATTTGCATGCCTCTTGTCCGACCCAGCCAAGTTTATGACCAGCTTAAAGTGAACTGGGTTGTTGTGTGAAGAGGAGTCTTACTCTGGACACCCAGGGCCATGCCTGGGAGCAGCTGTAGGTGCTTTTGACGGCAAGTTGGTTTGAAGACTTGGAGGCGGGTAGGAGGACCAGGGTTGGCTGCGGGAAGTTGAGGCAGGGGAGAGAGGAGCTGGTACAGAGCCAAGAGTGGGGCTGGTGGTGAGCAAATTGTGAAAGACAGTGACGCTCCCACCCCCCCTGCCCCGGGAAACATCGAGACCAGAAACAGTTATGATGATGAGCCAGATTCAGCCAGACTCCTGAACAATTAGGCAGAGGTTGCTCCAGACAGAATCTGCTGTAGATTCTTCTGGAAGTTCCTGTAATAACCACTGACTGCTTTTTCAGGGTGTGGCTAGTTAGGGCTCAGGGGTCAAAGCTGAAGCAGCAGAACCTCTCATGGGGCAGGGGTGAGAGGAACCTCCCCGGGCAGGTCATGACATGCTGGGAAAAGCCCAGAACTGGTCTAGTTCCAAGGCCAGGGCGCAGGGTGTGTCAGAAAGATGCATTCTGCTCGAGCCTGGAATTGAGACCAGGGTCATGTTTAACCTTGGCCACAATTCAGTGAGGCTGTGACGTGGACTGAATGGGGCTGAATCGTACCCAGGACTATTCTCTGTGAGGCTCGCTTGGTTTCTGCATAACTGTGATGGTTGCGTTTGGTGTCGACTTGACCCTTGGAATGGGCCTTCAAAAGCGTACTGTCTGGTATGTCTTAACCTTTCCTGGATCACAGACTCATTTGGGAATCTAACCAAATCTACGGACCACCTCTGACTCAGTGCGTGCCGCCCCCTCCCCTGCCCCGAAGTGTATTTACCCAGATGATTTTTTTGGACAGTGGTATGGTTCCATGGTTGTCCAGGTTGAGCACCTCTGATTTGACTTTGGTTCTCTCATTTGATGTGCAGAGCTAGGTGTCAGTCCCACATAGCAACTGACCATGGAGTCACAACTGGATGCAAACCCTGACTCTACCCCTTACCAGCAAGAGATGTAATCCCTCTGTGCCTCAGTTTCCCTATCTGCCAAATCGAGGTAATAATATTTTTTTAAAGATTTATTTATTTACTTTACAGAGAAATAGACAATGGGGGAGGGGCGGAGGGAGCGGGGTGAGAGAGAACCCCAAGCAGACCCCACATTGAGTGCAGAGCCCGATGTGGGGCTTGATCCCATGACCCCAAGATCACGACTGGAGCTGAAATCAAGGGTTGGATGCTCAACCGGTTGAGCTACCCAGGTGTTCCAGTAACAGTTTTTTTTTTTTTTCCTAAGCAGAGACACAGGTTGATTCCTTCGCCTGTACTTCTAGCTTATGTGGAAGTTTGAACCAAAGAATTCCTGCCACCTAGTCCTTCTGTGGTGAATAAAATACAATTTGTAGCACTGACCACACCAATGTCTTTGTCCATGTGTTTATTGTCAGGGAACTAGTGGTTGTTCTTTCATGAGTGGGGCTGTCTTCTTCTAAAGAGAGTGTGTTTGAACACTGTATCAGTTCGCCTTAGCTGCGTAACGAACGACTCTAAAAATGTAGTAGCTGAAACCAATAATCATTTATTAACACCTGATTCTGTGGATTGGCAATTTGGGCTCAGCTGGGTGGTTCTTCTGCTGGGCATGCCTGGGTTCCCTCACGGGACTGTGGTTAGCTGGGGGGTGGGGTCGGCTGGGGCTGCACGGTCTTGGAGGCGTCATGCAGGTGTCTGGTAGTCAGCAGGCTCTTGGCTGCAGTGCCTTGTTTCCCTGCCACATGGCCTCTCTAGCAGGTGAGGTCCAGCTCATTCCCATGGTGGTTGCAGGGTTGCCAGGAAAAGCAGAGAGTGCAAGCCCTGCATGTAAGGGCCTCTCAAGCTTACCCTTGTGGCCTGTTTGCTAATACCTTCATTGGCCAAAACAAGTCCCACGGTCAAACTCAGATTCAGGAAGTAGAGAATCAGAATCCATATCTTGGAGAAGCTGCCAAATGTCATGGATTTTTTTTTTTTCTCTCAGTGCCCCATACCAGATTTTTTTTTTCTCTCAGTGCCCCATACCACTGGTGAGTGGCTGGGTATTGAGTTATCAGCTTAAAACTCAGAGAGTTTTGACCCTAATGAGTGTTTCTACTTCTCAAAAGAAGAGAACTGATAATCGGAGACTACAACCTCCAGGCTAGCGCTCCAGTCTAGTTATGGAAAGTGACTTCCTCTGTATGGGACATTTGCATTTCCTTGCCGTGGGGTTCTCTTCCTCAGCCACCGCCATTCTCCCGTCTTTCCCTCCCTCCCCCTTCCATACCTTTCCGCCTTTCACCTGCCTTAAGGTTTGCGCAGACTCTTGTGGGCTAGCCTGGGAACTGTATAGTCTTCCCTGCATTGTTCTCAGGAGAACATGCTCTCTAGGGATGGTTGGGTTGGTCACAGCCACCCTCTTGTCCCCAGCAATGGCATTTTTGGGGATATTTTTCTGTCCTTTGGCTTAAGGAAGGGCCCACTGGCAAGGTCGGCTCACGCCTGTCTTGTCTACCAGTTGTCTTCAAACAGTGCCTGGCATGCGGCTTACCCTCAATAAATATTAGTGCAGTGGATGAATGTTTACAGGCAGAGCCCAAGCCCTGTCTGAGGTTTTACACACAACACAAGATGGTTGTGTGCCATCCAAGGGGCTACTTCCTGTTGTCTGCCATCCACAGCCTTCTGAAACCCTGAGTGCGACCCCTTAGTGACTGTGGCCAGCTCCCTACAAAGTCCACAGACTCTCCACAGCAGAGAATTAGCTGTCGTCCTTCCTCTGCTGGAAATCTTCCCTGAACCCTAGACTCGACCCTTGCACCAATGACTCAAAACACAACTCTTTGGTGGGAGATGGCAACTGGCTTCACCGTGGGACGTAAGGGAGTAAGCATGCGTCTCTAAGTTGGTCTGTGTGTATGTTTTGGGCGAGGGTGCAGATTTTCTTTGCCCTAGGGCCCCATCTTTGAGGGGCTTCCTACGCATCAGAGACAGGGTGGATTTGTACATTTGTTTTGACTGTTTTCCAGCAGAGGGCGGTCAAGGGTCTCGTTCTAAGTCAGTCTATGGCAGGATTTTGAAGTGTCCAGCGGTGATAGCAAGGTGACTGGTTCTGATTTGCATGGAGGTCGCCTGTGAGCTAGCCATGGACCCCTGTCTGCCTGTGTGGTGTCCATCTGCATGTGGCAGCCAGAAAAGCCCTCAAACTGTGCACGGGATCCCCGGAACCTCGAATATGTTCCCCGCCAAGTTCATGGCAAAAGGAATTCTGTACATGTGATAAGAGTTCTGCATTTTGACATGGGGAGGTGATCCTGGATCATCTGGGTGGGCTCAGTCTAACCACGTGGACCCTCAAAATCAGAGAACCCTCCCCAGCTGGGACAGGAGCGACACAGAAGAAGCGGAGGGGAGATTTGAAGGGTGACAGGGAGGGATTTGGCCTGCTGCTGTGGGCTTTGAACCTGAGGAGGGGCCACAAGCCAAGAAGTGCAGGTGTTTCTAGAAGCTGGGAATGGCCCTCAGCTGACAGTCAGCAAAGGAATGGGACCTGAGTCCCTGCAAATGTAAGGAACAGAAATCTGCCCACAACCCTAATGAGCAAGGAAACGGATCCTTCCCTGGAGCCTCCAGAAGGGAGCACAGCCTGTGGACACCTCTTTAGCCTGGCGAACCCTAGGAGGGACTTCTGACCTCCAGAATGGTCACAAATGGTTATGGAAATGACTCTCTTGCTTTCTCCAAGAGAATGGTTTCAGGCCCACCCATTGGAAGAGGCATGTCCCTCTGTGAGTGGCTTAGGGCCTGCTGTGGATGGCCGGGTGTCTGGCTGTGGATGGCCAGTGACTACCACGGACAACCGAGTGTTTGCTCTTGAGCACTGTCGTTCCCTTGTTCTCTCCTTTTCTCCACCTGTTACTCGGAGGTCTGGAGGTTGGGTGGAGCCCGCCCTCCCTCTCCAGTCCTTGCTGCTTGGCTATGAAGCTCTGGTGTGTGGAACCCACGGGAGTGCTTGGGAAACTGAGGCCCAGAAGGGGGGCACCACAGGAGGGAGTCCAGGTGGCTGCAGGGTTGACATCCCCTCCCTTGCTTCTCCACCCAGAAAGAGCAGGACATACCTGTGCTGCCCCTGATCGATGGGGAAAGCTCATCGGTCAGGAACAGGTGGGCACATAGTGCATTCCCGAGGGGCCAAGCTAGCTGCTCTCCCGTCTGTCCAACGCTGGGTGAGGGGCGTGCTGTGATGGGAGGAGAGCAGCCCCTGTCTGGACTCCCCTGCCTCCAGATGCTAAAGGCCTGCCTGGTGATGGTGCCTCAGCCACATCAGGTGAGTTGCTGGGCTGGGTGGGGGAGACCCTGTTCCCCACACCAGTCAATGTCCCTTTTGCCTCCCCCAGGGCTGCTCCTCTCAGACTTCTGGTCCCTCCGTCCACAGTGGTCCCCATGGGTCAGGTGGGCATCTCAGAGGTGGGGGCTCTGGGATGGAGCTGGGTGGGTGGGAGATGAAGCCTGACACCACAGGGACTGGGGTGGGTGGGAGGGGTCCTCTATGGAGCTGAAGAGGGCCCCCTCCCAGAACTGTCCCTGTGGAGTCCTCCAAAGACTATGGGTTTCATGGCAGCCACAGGGGGTCCCCCCAGCTGGGGCCCTGTTGATCCATGACCTTTAGCTTCAGAGATAGATGGACAACTTCAACTCCGATGGAAGACCCACTCCTGAACCAGGTGAGCTGGTGGAGGTGGGGTGTGGTGGGGCTTGTGCCAGGACCCTTGGGCCCAGGAAAGAAGAGGGTCTCAGCCCGGCCTGTGGTGGTTGACTTGATTTGCTTCTGTGTGCATGCCCTGCCTGCAGGTAGACACACAGGTATGTGGACACAGGTGCAGGCCTGCCTCTGTACACACACATTTGGGTAAATGCTGATGCATAGGCAAGGATACCTGGCATAGACGTGTGCCAGTCATTTTGCAAGCCCAGCACCATGAGAGCTCATTGACTGTAATGATCCCCACGTGGACATGAGAAACTTACTCTAGGTCCCACCTGCCGGGCAGGGGTGAAGTTGGGATCTGATCCCAGGCAGTTGGGTCTGTTCGAGACATTGGATACACAGAGAGTAGCCATCCCTGCCCTTCAAGGGCTGGCATTATAATGACAGAGACAAACACTACCCAGATCAGTAAATAATAAGATAGGAGATAGTGATCAGTGCCCTGAATTAACACAAAGCAAGATAAGAAGGAGAAAGAATGAACCAGAGGAGGGATGTGGTTATTTAGCTCAGGGCTCAGAGGAGGCCTTTCTGAGGAGGTGATTTGTGAGGAGATATGATGGAGGTGAGGGAGGGAGCCTGCTGATATCTGGGGGAACAGTGGTCAGGCATGGGAACAGCCCATGCAAAGGCCCTGGGGCAGGACTGTGCCTGGAAGTTGGAGGAACAACGAGGAGTTCCACGTGGCTGGAGCAGAGTGAGTGAAGGGGAGAGAAGGAGACCGGGAAGGGGTTAGAACTTGGGTTTTTAACTGAGGGAAGTGGAAGCCCTGGGAGGGCTGCACCTGGGTCAGGTGCTCACGGGCGCCCTCTGGTGGCTGATGTGGGGAGGACAGACTGGGGGTGGCCAGGACTAGTCCAGGTAGGCCGCGATAGGACGGACCAGGTGGGGCTAAGGAGGGGAAAAGTGGGCTGATTCTGGCTAGATTTTGAACCAGAGCTTCTACGGTTTGCTGAAGGACTGGTTATGGGGTGTAGAGAGAGGAGCTGAGGGTCCCCCAGCGCTCCTGGCCTGAGCGAGCAAAGAACTGATGTGCTTGAACCAGGTCACATGACGTTTGAGATGTCACCAGGGACCACCTAGGATGCAAACAAGAGTTGTCAATTTGGGAATCGTGGCGTAAGGTGATTTTTAAAAAAAGTTTCAACTTGGTTTTAATAATTCCTTGGTCAGATTACTCTCATTCTTCTGAACGTTCAAATAGTTCCAAGCTATAAACTGTGCCTAGGTAGCCAATGCGTTTAGTTTTTTTTTTTTTCAAACATCAAAGGTAACCTCTGCCAACAATTGTTAACAATGCCACAGTTGTGACCATCAAACATTCCTTTAGCAGTTCCGTTGTAGCAAGTGACAAAGCAAAGGGAGAAGTCTATAGCAATATTTAGTGCTGTTGCAAAAGATCCTCACCCCAACATAAAATAGTTTAAATATCAGAATGTGGTCCATCCCTTATTGTCATTGTTCAGGAAGATTCCTGAAATTGCTATTCTTCTGTGACGTGTTGGGCTAAATCACAGTGAATTTTTAAGTTGCATCCTTGGTAATTAATCGTAAGATCACATCTTGTCAATCAGAGTGAATGCTAAATGCGGTATCCAGAAATCTTATCATCTGTTTCTCCAAAAGGGACCTGGGCACTGCTTCCCAGTATCTTAGCTGGACTTCTCCACACTAGGCGAGTAGGTGATTCTGGGAGTAAGAAATTATTGTTATTATTATTAGTATTATTATTTTTAAAGATTTTATTTATTTATTTTGAGAGAGAGAGAGTGTGAGAGAGTGAGCATGCGAGTGGGGGGAGGGGCAGAGGGCGAGAGAGAATCCTAAGCAGACTCTGTGCTGAATGCGGAGCCAATGCAGGGCCTGATCCCACGACCCCGAGATCATGACCTGAGCTGAAACGAAGAGTTGGAAGCTCAACTGACTGAGCCACCCAGGTGCCCCCAAATTATTTTTTTATTAAAAATATTTTTTGGATGGATGATTCAGTTTATTTGATCCATCAGCAGTTGTTATGCATTTACATTTTCCCCCTGAATTTAATCTGTACCCATTCTTTTCTCCTCAGCTTTGATATAATTGACCTATAACGTTGTGTAAGTTTAAGGTGTACAATGGGATGCTTTGATACACTTGTATATTGCAGAATGATTACCATGATCACCACCATAGCATTTGTGGTGAGAACATTTAGGATTTACTCTCTTAGCAGCCCCAAGTGTCCTGCTCGTCAACCAGGCAATGCCAAGGTCACTCTGGCCTCTCCCAGGCACTGGGTGCTGACATTAGTGAATGTACCTGTGTCCCGTCTCGCAGCACCTCCCATCCCCAGAGACGTGGGGATAGGCTGGTCCGTTGGTGTGCACCAAACTGCACTAACTGGCCCCCATTCTCCAGCCTTTGTGACATTTGGACTTCCTGAGTCACCATAAGTGAGGCCTCCTTTTATCGCTGGATGCCCTACAAGGTGGCGAGGGCTGGGTGGGAAGGGTACGTGAGGGTGTCTATCCCAAACATTCACACTCATGAGCAGCTGCTGGGTCTACACGTCAGGGAACGGGACTGGCTGAATCCACCCCTGGACCTGGGGTGGGAGGTCCAAGCCTGCTCTCCCCCGTTCCTGGTGCCCGATCAGCCGGTTCCCAACATAACTCTGGCCGATGCAGTCCCACACTAAGGGCCCCATCCTCAACACTCAGCACCTCTGGCTCTCTTGTGTCCATAGTACTCCACTGGGCCAAGACCCACACACCCAGTCTGTGGACACTTCCAGAACCTTTGTGTGTCAGCATCCACAATCTCTGGCTCCCCAGAGCTGGCATCCAACACATTGATCCCATGATACTCGAACAAGTCAGCATCCAGTTATCCAACACATGGTACCCACACTCAGGGTGTGGGAGAATACTCTAGCATCTCAAATCCCACGTTCCCATCGGCCAGTGCCAGTATGTCGTTACTCAGGCCAGCACTGAACCACCCCAACATTCAGTGCCTGCAGACTCCCCATCTCTGGCTGGCCGAAGCCCAACACATGGAAGTCCCAACTCCCACCACTGTCAGCACCCCGACTTCTCATCAGACAACAGGCGACGGTGTTCACTCAAACAGGCTGCTGCGCTGTCCCTAGTCACGTTGACGTGTGGGTGTTCCAACACCTGCTCCCTTTTGTGTTCCAGGTACTGACCGCCTCTAAGGTCTGGCAGCCAAATGCCAAAATGGTCCAACAAATGGACACCCTGATGGGCAGTATGTCCCTCCTCCAGCATCTATTAGCCAGCTGCAATCAGAAAACACCCAGCACATCCCAATACCCAAGGGGCCTGCCTTCAACACCCTGCATGGTTCACAGAGATCCACAGCCCATTCCTCTAATCCTCCAGCTCCCCACTGGCCAAGCTCACCGAGCTTCCACCGGATACTGGACAGGGCAGACCAGCGCCTGGCCCTTGGTATGTATGCCTGAGTCCAGTGCTTGCCAGCCGGCCCCCCACATGGTGTCGCCCTGATGCCTGGTGAGTTCTTTTCCCCAGTCGTCACCAGCCAACACCCCACCATCCATGTCAACAGCTGTACTTTGCTAGGTTGACAGCAAAGGCTAACGCCCGGTGCTTTCACACTTAAGAGTCCGTTTGTCACCCAGTACCCCAACATGGCACCACTTGAGTTTTTGACCTCCTAAGGACTGTGCCTGCTGACACCCTGCCTGTGGTCGGGTTCTGGGGGTGTGGACTGTGGCCTGACTCGACTAGGTCCTGCCTTCCACAGGTGGGGGAATCATTCAGACTTTCTGATGGTGGAAGGGTACCATTTGGCCAGTGAGGCCAAGGGGCCCAAGGGGCTTGGACAGGGGGCCAAGAATATGGGTGTCTGAGCTTCCACCTGCCTGGGGCTGGAGACCCTCATGCCCCAGCTTAACCTTCTCTGCCTCCCCTTAACACCCAGGGCCTTCTTGTTGGCTGGGGTCAACTCCTTCCCTCTCCCAAGCTTGGCAGTGGTGGGGGGATGGCCTCTCTCTCAAGGCTCTCCAGGGAGACAGGACCAATAGCATATATATGTGTATGTATATATAACGAGATTTATTTTAAGCAATTGGCTGAAGCAATTGTGGGGGCTGGAAAGTCTGAAGTTTGCGGGGCAGGCTGGAAACTCCCCCAGGAGTTTGTGCTGCAGTCTCGAGGCAGAATTCCTTCTCCCAGAAACCAGTTTTGGATCCTAAGGCCTTCAACTGATTGGATGAGGCCCACTCACATAGCCAAGGCAATCTGCTACTTAAAGGCAAGGGATTGGAGATGGGAGCCTCATCCCCAAAATGCCTTCACAGCAACTCTTAGATTAGTGTTTGAATGACCCAGAACTTTAGCCAAGTTGGCACAAAACTGACCTTCGCATCCCCCCTTCTGACCTCTCTGCCTGGGGGAGGAGGGATGTGGGTGGAGGAAGACCCAGAGAGTCTTAGACTCGCACAGACTGTGTAGCCTGGTCCCGCCCTGGTATTTTCCGGTCCCTCTGGGGCTGAAGGGGTGTTCCTTACACTGGCCTTCCTCTGGCCACTGAAGGGAGACCCTACAAGTCCCCAGATAAGTTTTCGATGCCAAAATAAACTCAGCTCCTGTCCTGTGTGAGCTGCCTCATTCCTCCCCCCGGGGCAGGGGAAACTGAGTCAAGGTGGGAGACTCGCCAGGACTCCAGCACAGAACCCATCAGGACAGGTGAAGTAGAGCTCGGACCCTGAATTTCTTTTCTGACCATGCACCCTCCTCCCCCTACCCCTCCCGCCACCCATCCTCCTCTGTGATTGGCTCCAGCCCCAGCTCCCAGCCACTACCTCATCCTTCTGGCCACAGCGATTGGCTCAAGAGTGGGCATGTAACCCCCTCAGAGCCAATGAGAGGCAAGGAGACTTGCTAGGGGTTCTTGGGACTCACGTCACTCCTGCTCCTGACTTTTTTCCTTCTTTGGGTCAAATGGAAGAGACTCTCAGTCTGGCCCTAGACAGTGTGGTTTGAGGATGGGAGAAATGACAGTGACCATGGTGTGGACCGCAGGGCTGGGACTGGGGCTTTCACTGCTGTGTGGAATCAGGTTGTAAAGCCCAGGCAGCCTGGGATAGCAGAAGGAAGACACCAGAGCCTTGAGGATATCATGTGAGCACCTGGATCAAACCTCACCTGCTGGGGCACCTGGGTGGCTCAGTCGTTAAGCGTCTGCCTTCGGCTCAGGTCATGATCCCAGGGTCCTGAGATCGAGCCCCGCATTGGGCTCCCTGCTCCGCGGGGAAGCCTGCTTCTCCCTCTGACCCTCTCCCCTGCTTGTGTTCTCTCTCTCTGTGTCTTTCTCTGTCAAGTAGATAAATAAAATCTTTAATAAAAAAAAAAAACCCTCACCTGCTGCCGTCAGGCTTTCATCTTTATTGTGATAATGAAGATAATGATACATGACATTATGTAGCCCTTACTACATCCAGACCCTTATTGTAACCTCTTGACATGTGTTAACCTATTGAATTCTCCCAACAACCCTCTGAGTTAGGTCCTATTATTATCCCCATAGCACAGATGAGGAAACCCAAGCACAAAGAGGAGAAAACAATTCTCCCAAGGCCACATAGCTGGGGTGGCCAGAGCCAGGATGCCTGGAACCCTCATCTGTGTGAGATCCAGCCTCTTGCTCCTGTCATTTACACCCAAAGGGGCTCTGACTGATTCCAGGTGATGCCAGAGACTGCACAGCCAGAGAGAGGAAATCAGAGTCATTCCTCCCTTGCGTAGAGCCTTAGTGGATCCCTGAGGATCTACACGAGGCAGACCCTGCTGCCATCTCTACCTCATTTCCCGCCGCTGTGCCCACCTCATTCAGCTCCAGCCCTATAGGCTTTCTCTCTGTTTCTCCAAATCACCGAATTTATCCCAACTTTGCCCCCCCAACCTCTGCAGTTCCCTCTGCCTGAAATCCCCATCTTCTCCTCCTCCTGGTTAACCGGGCCATGTCCTCAGGGCAGTGGTCCCTGACCACCCTCCTTCTGACCTCAGTCTAGGCCAGTAAAGCCCAGACGTCAAAAACACATGCCCTGTAGGCTCATATCTCGGTCCATCCCTTCCTTGTTGCGTGACCTTGAGCCATTACCTTGATCCCCCTGTACCTCAGTGTCCTCCTCTGTAAGTTGGGGTAATAATAGTACCTGCCTCACAGGTTTGGGTGAGGAATAAAGGTTATTATATGTAAAGTGATTAGAACAGTGCAGAACACTTAGTAATCATGCAGGCAGCACATAATAGTAATAATATTAATAGTAATAATTATCATTTTGTATTTTTCTGTGACCACTTGGAGATTTTATTTGTGTTTATTAAAACATGAAGGTTTGCAAATCATGAGACACAATATTTTTCATTGGCAAGTAAGTGTAAATATTATTTCATACATGAACTATAGCGCCGAGTTTGACATCTTAAAAAGGGAAATTAATTCTTTTTATTTCTTTAAATTTTCTGCTTTGTTGAGGTGTAATTGGCAAAATTGTAAGGTATTTAAAGTGTAGAAAACTTATTTTTTAAAAAATTATTCTTTGGGGCGCCTGGGTGGCTCAGTCGTTAAGCGTCTGTCTTCGGCTCAGGTCATGATCCCAGGGTCCTGGGATCGAGCCCCACACTGGGCTCCCTGCTCCGCGGGAAGCCTGCTTCTCCCTCTCCCACTCCTCCTGCTTGTCAAATAAATAAATAAAATCTTTAAAAAAATTATTCTTTGTTTTAACATTAATGAATGAATCAAGAAAGTAAAATGGTACATCAGTGGTATGACTTAGTGGCTTCCCAAACTCTTCTGTTTGCAGTTTTATTAAAATTCACTTAGTTACTGGCCACTATTTACACAAAGTATTTTTCTATCTGGCATTAATTAAATTTTCACCATCTGTACTTATTTTGGGGCTATTATAATTTTTTCATTTCATGATTTTTGCTGAAGGTGAATTTATTTTATAGGAAGGGGGAATTAAAAGATGACCCCAGCCGGGTGTCAAATACACCGGGAACGGGGCTGGGCTTGCCGTTAACGTCTGCAGAATGAATCCACGACGGAGGGTGCAGTTCCACATCGTGCCCACGAGGTGCCGCTGTTCCCAAATCAAGGCCCGCTCTTCCTCAAATCCAGCGGGGAGGAGGTGAGGTGCTGGGGGGTGCACAGCACGTGGGGCGTGCCTCGGACTCCTCCTCACCTCCAGCCCCCCGCCCTACCTCTGCAGTCTGTTCACGTCCAGGCGCCATGAGTCAGGGCTTTCCTCCAAGCAGCTCTGACCGTCTCTCTCTCCCAGGATCCTTCCAAACGTATCCATGCTGTCCTTACCTCTGAACCTTTGCATGTGCTGTTCCCTCTGCCTGGAAAACCTTCCATCCCCATTTACTGATGTCCATTCAGAAAACTCATACTGAAGTTAAAGACTGGGCCTCACTTTCCCATGGGGGCACATTCCAAAATGCTCTGTGCTTGTTTCCTCTGCTGGGTAGACTGGGCCAGAGGATATGTCCGGGGCAAGGAATTAGAAAATCTGAAAGGCAACGAGGAGCCACAGAGGGTGTTTGAGCAGGAGAGCATCCTCACATGGAAGGAGAGAAAGGGACCCTTCCTTCTGCTCCTCTGATCTTTCTAGAAGGATTTCAGTGGGGGTGGAATGAGATGCTCTAGCATTGGCCATCCAGACTACCCCCCTTGCTGGGCCCCCAGTGGTGAGGCCAGCAGGTCCCCCTCCCTCTGTGCTCTCCTGGTGGGGCTGTTTGCACCCCAGTGACCCCCCTGAGTTGGAGCCAGCCCACAGCACCTGCTCCCTGGGCAGACAACAGGTTGGGGGGGGCAGCGCTGCAGGGAAAGCCACGAGCTACAGGCTGGGGGCTGAGGTGTCACCTTTACGGAAGCGCTGGTGACTCCCTCCACCGCAGGGAGTTTGGAGGCCCCGCGCAGCTGATGTGGCATGGCTCGTGGCTCACACAGGACTTGCTGGGGAAACAGCGACCTGGGAAGTGAGCCCCCTGTGCAGGTAGAGGCCCGCGTGGGCTGCCCGACATCCAGGGTTCTGGGGGGACCCTCGGGGACCCTCCCCCAGATCTCCGGCCCCTCCCCCACCCGTCTCCGTCCCTCTAATCCTGTCTCTGAGTCTTTTCGGCTCCCTCCAGCTTTCCTGCCCCATCTCTCTCTCTCTCTGTGTCTCCCTATGTCTTGGGGTCTCTGGCCCTCTTTGGGATTCTCTCTGTGTGTCTCCCTACCTGTGTGTCTCTTTGTCTCTGTCTGTCACATCTCTGTGGCCTCATCCAAGCCCCGCTCCGGGCTGGGCGAGGGAGAGCAGGCCTCTTTGTGACTTGGAGGGGCCTGTCCTCTCCCCTCTTGGGCTCTGTCTCCTTGGACCCCGCTGCCCTGAGGGAGACCTGGAGTGGCCCTGGGGACGGGACAGGAAGGGCTGGCCGGCGGGGAGGTGGCCAGGGCCAGGCTTCACACAGCCACGGGTGGGAGCATCTGGCTTCAGCCCCCAATGCCTGCATCTATTTTGGGGGGCCCTCCAGCAACTGCCTTCTCTCTGCAGCCCACTGCCTCCAAAGCCCACCTTCCCTGTGCACCCCACCTCTGCTCCCTTCTCTCGGGCTCCTTGCTCCCGCCCTCCTCCCTGCTTCTTCTCTGGGTGTTGCCCCCATACCTGGCCCCTGGCCCCTACGTCAGGAGGCTGAGGACAGCTGCTGTCGCCTGGTCAGCACTTAGGGGTGAAAAAGCGCAGACTTCATGCAACCCCGAAAAGGACCTGATAGTGCTGGTCGTTATGGGTGACTCCACCCATTGTTGTGTGTGTGTTGGGGGGGGCGCTGGGTGGAAGGCCGAGGTCTCAGAAGGGGGTGCGTGGGGACCTGGGAGGGTCTGCTGTGGTGTAGTTGTCTAGGGGTCTGGCTGAAGGGGAGGGTCGGGTTTGTCACTTGACGGGGGGCCCGCGGTGTTCCAGGATGTGGTGGTCTGCTGTGCAGACCTGTGCGTGTTTGTCCTCAGGGTCTCACTGTTGTGGGGATGCACTGGTGGTAAAGACTGGGGGGTGTTGGGGTCTAGTGTAAGTGCTGTGAGGTCCCAGTGGGCCTGAGGACGGGAACGAGCGTTTGTTGCAGACACTTAGTGGTTACAGACCTCTGGCTATTGTTTGCTGGGTGTGTTGTGTGCCATTCGTGGGTTAGCAGCCATCTGCTCTCTACCTCTCTTTGCTGGCCTCCCTCTCTCCTTCTCTGTCTGCTCTCCCTGTCTTTTCTGTTTCTTTCTGTATCTCTTTCTCTTCCTCTCTCTCTCTTCTCTGTCCCTCCACAATGCACTTTTACCCACTTGTTTATTGAACAATTGCTTTGTGCCCACCATCTGGTGGCAGCAGGTGCCTGGGGCCTCTGGGCCCTGCTCAGATGGGAAGAGCAGGTGAGACAGCCCACACCCATCTGTGATTGGCCCTGAGGGTGGAAATCACTGGTTCACTTGGTGCAAACCATCTGGATGTTTATGTCTCAGAGACCACCCACTATCTAGGTCAGGCCTTGCTCCCCAAACTTCAAGTCTGACATAGAAGGGTTTGGCTGAGGCAAGAACTCTGTCGTGCATAGAGGGTCATGGGCATTGAGAGAGGGGATCGGCCATGCAGGTATTGAAATGGGAGGGCATGCTTGTGCAAAGGCCCTGGGACAGGACTGGGCCAGCGTGTTGGAGGAACAGTAAGGAGGCCCTTGTGGCCCAAGTGGAGTGAAGGGGGGGCGGGGGCGGGGAGTTGGGAGGGTAGGGAGGGAATGCGACAGGTTGTGCAGGACCTTTTGGGCCTCAGGGAGGACTTGGGCTTTTACCCTATGGGAGGTGGGAGCCCTGGAGGGCTTGACGTGTCTGGAGTTCTGCAGACATGCCAGTCCACGCTCCGGACATGGCCACTTGCACAGTGTTTCCTTCTTTTTTTCCAATTTTTTTTTACTTTGGTAAAATACACATAACATAAAATTGCCATCCTAACCATTTTTAGTAATACAGCTCAATGGTATTAAATACATCCATAATGTTGTGCAACTGTCACCAGCATCCGCCTCCAGAACTTTCTCATCTTTCCAAACTGAATCGCTGTCCCCATTAAATACTAACTCCCCTCTCCCCCTGCCCCACCCTCCAGCCCCTGGCACCCACCATCTACCTTCTGTCTGTGTCTCTGACTACTCTGGGAACCCTGTATCAGTGGATTTATACAGTATTTGTCTTTTTGCAACTGGCTTTTTTCACTGAGCAAAATGTCCACAAGGCCCATCCGTGTTGTAGCAGGTGTCAGAACGGCCTTCCTTTTTAGGCTGAATGTTCCATTGTGTCGATGGGCCACGTCATGTTGATCCATTCATGTGTCTATGGACACGGGGGCTGCTTCCACGTTTTAGCTTCCACGTGGACATGGGTGTGCCCACACCTCTTTGAGTCCCTGCTTTCTGTTCTCTTAGGTGTAGACCCACAAATGGAACTGCTGATCATATGGGAGTTCCATTTTTAAGTTTTTGAGGAACCCCCATACTGTTTTCCACAGTGAAGGACTCTGCCATTTTATATTCCGGCCAACAGTGCGTGAAGTTTCTAGTTTCACCACGTGCTTGCCAGCACTGGTGATTTTCTGGTCTTGTTTTGTTTTTGTTTTTGTTTTGTTTTTCTTTTTTTGATAGCATCCCCATGTGCGTGAGGCTATATCTCATTGTACCATTGACACTTGAACACGGGAATTGGGGTGTCAGCCCCTGTGAGTCAGAAATCCACATACCACATTTGACTCTCCAAAACACCATCAGCCTGCTGTTGACCAGCCGCCTTCGTGATGATGAGAACAGTTGATAAATGCCTATGTTGTGTGTTACACGGATCGCTGTGTTCTTACAGTGAGGTCAGCCAGAGAGAAGACAGTGTTGTTAAGGAAATCATAAGGAAGAGAAAGTGCATTGACAGGCCTGGAGGGTGTTTATGAAGGAACCCGCGTGTGAGTGGACCCACGCAGTCCAAACCTGCACTGTTCTGGAGACGGATGCTGGTGACAGTTGCACAACATTATGGATGTATTTAATATCACTGAGCTATATTACTAAAAATGGTTAGTTTGGCAATTTTATGTGTATTTTACTAAAGTAAAAAAAACTGGAAAAAAAGAAGGAAACACTGTGCAAGTGGCCATGTCCGGAGCATGGACTGGTCCTCTGGAATGCTGAGTGATATTGAACCTCTTGTCATGAGCTTATTGGCCAATCAGATATCTTCTTTGGAGACATGTCTGTTTAAGCCCTTTGCTCAATTTTTAATTGAGTTTTTTTTTTTTTTTTTGGTCATTATTGCTGAGTTGTAGGTATTCTCTATGTATTCTGGATATTAATCCCTTATCAGATCTATGATTTGCAGATATTTTCTTCCATTCTGTCAGTTGCTTTTTTGCTCTGTGATTCGTGTCTTTTGATGGTGCCTTATTAAAAAAAAACAACAACAGCTAAAACAGGGGCAGCTGGGTCCAGGTGAAATTTATCCTGTGATCTCCTGTCACAGCTCCCACTCATTCTGACTGCATGACCCAGGCCTAGCCGGTCTTTATCAGTCAGGCTAGGATGTGAGCACTTCTCCTAAAGCAGGATTTCTCCACTACACCCTGGATAACCCTTTGTCCTGGACACTGGAGGGTGTTGAGCAGTATCCCTGGGATCTACCCCCTAGATGCCAGTAACCCTCTCCCCTTGTCATGACAACCAGTGTGTCCCCAAATATTGACAAACGTCCAAACCACTGCCCTAGAGCTGGAGGTGAGGTAGGAGGCTGCCTGGGGGAGGTGGGGGGCAGGCTGTGCAGAGGAGGGGTCGGGAGCTAGCCTCAGTCTTCTCACCTGTGATGTGGGATCCAGCACAATCATTCATTCAAGTATTTATTGAGCATCTACTACATGCCAGGCCCTGGAGCGGGGATATACTGGGAGGAGAAACACAGGTCTTGGCCTCATTGAAGAAAGAGAGATGTTAGTAAGTTACACAAGTGAATGTAAAATTACTTGGATAATAAATGCTAAGAAGTTGAAACACCTGATGTTCAGTAGGCGCAGAGTAGGGGCACCTGGGAATTTCAGGAGGGCTTCTCGGAGAATTTACAATCAGAGGATGAAAA